GGTTTTATTTCATTTTGGTTAATATTTCCGACACAAAAAATATATTCAAATCTATAACATGTACAAAGATTTTTCTCATTGCCCCCAAAATGAATTTTAAAGTAAATTTTGCTAAATGAATCGAATTAGGCATACACTAAAAATTTAAAATACAATTTCACTTGACACACTTAGAAGAACGACATGCGTTCTCTATTTAAGCATGCTTGGATCTGACTTTTGATAAGAAAATGAACTCAGGTTCGAACTCTATTTGAGCGATGCAAGAAAGCTGTTGTTTTCCAAGCTACCAGTCACTTAACTGTCAGATTCAGCTGGTGTGCTAAGTACAATACTCTTGGGCGTTTCAAGTGTCTTGAATGTGTTCGTAAAAATATCTGTCTCAGTTAAACGTATCTCATTGGCACGTGCCTGAATGATTATTCCATTATCGCAGGACTCACTTAGAACAGTTTGACTGTTGTCTACTTCGCTGATAAATAGATGATTAGCTAAATAGTGGCTGTTATTTAATGAAATTATTTGTTTATTCGTACCGCATGTATTAGTTTGTTGTACTGTTTCATTTCCTTTAATAACTGTAAGGGGTTGTTGTAAAAAATCGTTTTCTGTTTCATGTGTAATGGTGTCTTGTACACCATTGTTTTCTAAGTTATTTGTAATTGTGTCACTTACACCAGCGTGTTCTGCATTTTTTGTAATGGAGTCGTGTACATCATCGTTTTCTGCATCACATGTAATGGTGTACTGCACATCATAAGTTTTGGACCTAGAGTTACATGGCAGTTGGTTTTCGTTAGACACGTTTTGATGAACAAAACCAGCGTCTGTTGAGCTACATGCTGACCGCATAGTTTCTGTAATGTCTAGAAAATGAGCATCGTGAATAGAGGAGAATTTATTGCTGCCAGATGAATTCCCAGCATTGTCATCATGCTTATGGTAAATTGATCTATCACATCCGTTGTCTTCAAACAGAGTAGCTAGCGGTGAATGGTTGCCAACTATCGCTGTACATTCTTCATAAGTAGGTAGTTTATTCTCCAGTGCAGTTGGAGACGACATGGGGGGTAAGCAACTGTGTTGAAACTCCGAATGCTGCAGGCGATGGCGAGCAATTAAAGCAGGAATATCTACCATAGACTGAAGCATAGGTTGTGAACTAAAGCCCTGACTGTGTTGATCAGCAGTGTCGGATCTTATTTCACGAGCTGATACTCCAGCCTCACTTCCATAAAACCTAGACAACGTTTGCAAGACATCATTGTAAGCTGGTGGAGGAAGATTCAAGTTGATGGTTGGTGTCCTATCGTTGTGATCATTAAGTTGTTGAACGTTACATCGAGCATTAGAGGCTTTTGCGCGTTCCAATTTTGCTAATTTAAAAAAGTAGATAAAGTTTGAAATTAATCTTTTAAAAATTAATGAATATGATTATATAAAAAGAGAAATACAGTCATATGTTTCTAGCGCCTTGATTATTCTGTTCAGGATATTGTATTGTTGGTCTTAACTCAGATAAACAGCTCGTTCTCTATGCTTAGAAATCGTTTTAATACTATATCTTATAACTAAATGATCTTCTTATAAATAAAATAAAGATCATACATAGTTTTCTTTCAAACAATAATAATTATGTAACCGTCAAATAGCGGTTAGCTTTAGCAAAATGTTGGTTAGTACCGATAACCATAAACACTCCAACATAGTCGGCGTTGTCTGACAGTGAATATTTCCACGGCGAAAACCCTAAGGTGGCGCCAAAAAGCGTTGAAAAAATGGAAAAGCTCATTTTAAGCTGCATTTTTAAATTATAAACAGTCTAAGTTAAGAAATTTAACTTCTACCAGACTTTGCAAACTGATTTAATAGTAAAACATATAACCTTAAGAAATAGTGTCCGGCAAAAACCGCTTTCCAGCTTTTCCTAGATGGGGGTGGGAGGGGGGGGGGGCGCTTTTTTGACGACTAAATTCGGAAAGATTTACACTGGATTGGTGAGTTGATAAACTTTACCACTTATAAAGGAAACCAATTGTATTTAAGCGTATTGTACGATTGTGTTATCGTTATAAAAAGTAGCGCTTTTTAGCTTACAATAGAATTCTACAAGGATTTGTACTGGGTAGAATTTTAACACTTAGAGAAGAAACCAATTTTATTAAAGCATAAAAACAGAAAAATACGAAAAAGGTGGTGGGTGGGGTCGCTTTTTCGCCAAGGTACATAGGAACGATTTACACCGGAACGGTAAGTAGAAATATCGTTTAACACTTAGAATAGAAAGCTATTGTATTAACTTGTAATGTATGATTTCACTAGCCAGTTTTGTTCAGAAATGACACGACTAGTTCTTTGTACGATTCTTACGATTCTCTCAACTTCAGAGTAGGAGATCAGATATTTTTACTTGATTGCATTACATCTTGCCTGGATTAATATATTAAAGGGAAATAAATATCACGGATTCTTATATCGCTATCCGATCAGTTAAATAGCATACGGTCGGAGAGGGTGGGTGGAAGGCGATACTCTTTGCCGAAATTTTAAGAGCCAAGAAAATTAGTATATTATACCGAATAGATCTTTTTTGATAGCTTGTTTCATAATAAGTTCTAATACTGCAATTTTCATATAGTTATTAAGGCCACTAGACCCACTAAACGAGGTAAAACTGATACAACATGACGACTGCTACATCTTTGTTACTTTGTTCAACCTAACTGGTAATTTAAAACTGTAATATACTATTATCGAAATTTTCTTAAGTCACGACTAAAAGTAGACCAAATAAGCTTGTACCTTCTACAAACTACACTCTAAAGCAGTAGTTCTTAACATTTTTGGAGGTTTCGAACCCCACCAGTTTCATATGCACATTCACCGATCCCTTCATAATAGTTGTATGGTCCACACTGAAATTCCTATTGTGAATCATATTAGTCGGGTGTGTCTTAACTTCCGCAGAAGCCTTGAGACTGACTTAATTAACTTTTTGGGTACGATCAAACCCAGGCTAAGAACCACTGCTCTAAACTCTTTTGATTTTCTTCTTTTTATTCGTTTCAGCTTCCTAGGGAGCATATGCGTAGGCAACACTTCGTTAACTAACTTAATTTTTATGAAGCTAGAGCCCTAATAATCCTGCCTCACCTATTTCGATCGATTTCGTTATGACTTTTTTGGTCTCCTCTCTTTCCCGTGGACTTTACACAAGCACCTGCTTAGGGATGTTATGTACTGTCTTTCTGATATTGTGCCCTAACCACCACCTTTTCATTCTCCACTGTCTTTAACCTAGCTCCAAGCCATAAAGTAAAAGAGACTTCACATTTAGCTATATGCCCACATCCTCATTAAATGTTTTTGACAATGCATTTGAATTCCATGCTGGCTTTAAATGTTAAAACGCATCTTATCGATGCTGATTCTAATCTGACCGTCACGTGCGGTGCCACTATAATTAAACCGGTTATTACTGTTTCTTCAACCAGTACAATTAGTTTGCTTGTTGTTGACTAAATGCAAGAAGGCAGCATACATCTGGAAAATCCAAATCTTCGAGCTGTTGTGTACATTGGATTCCAGTTTGTTTCTTCTAGCTTGTTTCATTAAATAGTCAAACAGCGAACAAAATACCCCTGCCGTATTCCATTCTGTACAATAAATGTTTCTGATAAAATGCAATTGTGTATCTTTTGTATGACCTTATTCTAACAAACTTATAATCAAACTATGTAACACCTCATAACGAGATTGTTCCAAAAACAAAACATTAAAGACTGGCCTAAACAAACTAGCGCCTGTTACAATCTACCTTCTAAACTCATACCAGGCGTATTTTTTTCTGACATAATTAATCTTTTCTGCATACATTATATTTTACCTCAGTTCATGCGGGGGGGGGGGGGGGGTGCGACAGATCCGAAGTGATGCCTGGATGAAACTCTTTACATCCTTCTAATAAAAACGAATGTCATCCGTTCCACGGGGTCGGTAGTTAGACCGATATGAGTTATTTCCATGTACTTCGATTACTCGTACGCTTGAATGGAAACCGTGAAGTTGTTCTCAATAGGTGATGGGAGACAGGCTAACAAGGAAACTGATATGATTTAAACACAATCCTTTTACCATCTTGACACCAGCATCGGTGACAACGGACTTGAGTTAGCAACTGCCAATTGTCAGCTTGTCACTTTACGTTGATGATTGTCACAGTTTTATTTTCAATAATGGTAGTGTAGAAATATAGAAAGATGTTTTACAATTTTAAAAATGCCTTTAATAATACTCACCAACGATGGGTGTTAACAAAAAATAAGTATATTTCAAAATTCAAATGAGTGTACGTGTGTTTATAACAGTGTGCAATTTAAAAAAAGTTAGTCATACCAGCGGCTTCCAGCTCTCTCTCTGTTTTTGTTAGGCACATATAACATGCGATGACAAGCACAGCGATGATGACACCACCGCCAACCATCAGTCCAAGGTAAATAAAACTATTGAACACATAAATAAATGTATTTTACAAGTCAATAAATATATTAAACACGTAAATCAAATAGAGTTAACAAGTAAATGTATCAAACACTTCTGGAAGAGGTGATCATTTCGTACCACCCTCATTTGCTTAAGCTGGCCGATAGAAAAATCGCGTGAACACTTAAATAATTTTGGACAATTAAGCAATGTGCTGACAAAAAGGTAAGTCAAATTTTGTGCTGTAACTGTGATGTAATCTTAGGCTGTCTTTTTTAAATTGTTCAATGCTTAAGTGGATACTCGTAGCTTGTTTTAAATGTTCTAAATGTCATAATCTCCCTACTTTGTTAATAAATAAGTTTGTTTGGTAAACTTCGCCAGTTACAAACGTGAAGCAGAAATCGGTGTGTAGCCAAAGTCCGCTAAAGCGTACATGCGATGGCAGGTAAAACATATCCAAGGTACCAATTACACATAAAACTTGATATTTTATTATTAATAGTTATAATCATGCGTTTTACGTTTTAGACCTAGACTCTACAATTTTACCTTCTCCAATTTCAGAGTAAATTGTTTTTTTTTTCTTCTTATAGATCTATATGTTTAACGTTGCAAAGCTTTTATTAATTTTATACACACATTTTGTGTATATCATCAATACGTTTTTACATTTTTGCTTTCACTGGATGGACAACAAGTTCTGAAGATCTCAAAAAGCTATTCAGTCCTACATAGATGTTGTATCTAGGCATATTGAAAAAAATGATCTGATAGAGTTAAAAGTTAACTTTTCAGTTCAACGGGGAAAATCAACTTGCCATTTAAAAACTTAAATAACTGTTGGCAAAGATTGTTCAACTCTTTCAGTTTCATAAAATAAAGACAACCAGCATTAACTTCGAGGAAGGCTGAAAAAATATCTATTACGAGCCGACGGGTCGGCTCGTGTTGATACGCCGCTATTTAGTTGTTTTATTTTCTACTTTTCAGTAAGTCATAATTTATGAATTCGACAGTACCACTGCTGTCACTGAAAATATTTGATTTTAAACACTATCAGTAAGTCGTTAAGGACGATAACACCCCCCCTCCCTTCCCCAACCCCTACCCCCCCCCCCCCCCCCCCCGTGAAAGCAACCTCCTCTTAGCTACCTCCCCTAAGTTTAAAATCGTTTCAAACTAAATTATCTGCCCCTAATAGCCGTCACTAAACCCGGCTCTATGATTGTAAACATTTAGCGTGAACCACAGCTCACCAGACTTCCAAGAGAGGATGAGAGGGGACTGCAAGGCGCGCTTACAGCTTGTTTTTCTAACGTCTCCAAGAAGAGAATTATATATGTAGATTAGGGCCTCAAGCTGCCAGTTAGAATTTCTTCGTGCTTTTTCTGACATTACCGGCTATAACAAGGTTATACGGTGACCAATAGATGCATAGAAATTAAGACATTAGTGCTACAAAATAGTATCTTTAATTTCTTTGCTTCAGCAGTTATACTATTTGGACCCATTTGCGGGTAAATTATACCATAATTATGTAAATTTTCAGTTTACATCCATGTGCTCGTCTTTTTTAGAATTACACTTTAAAAGCCATAATTTTTAAAAATTTAGTTTACAGTAGAAATTGCTCCAACATAAAAATTAACTGTTTCCAACTTTTTCTTAGCGGTTACGAATTACTCACTGTCCCCATAAATGAATTAAAAATTTACAAAATTCTGCAAGCCATCTTAATAGAAACTTTACCCTCAATAACCGAACCTATTATCAATACAATATGATCTAGAAAAGCAGTTTAAATGTTTTATGAGTGATTAACTATAATAACATACCCAAGATATTTAGAGCAACAATATGGCATTCCAAACTCTAGATCATGACAACATGCTTCTTCACATTGAAGATCTTCATAGCACATTTTACCTACTTCGCTTGGAAATGTCCCTGAAATATTTAAAATGAATAATTTTAGTGTTATTAGCATGTATATATATAAATATAAATATATATATATATATATATATATATGTATATATATATATATATATATATATATATATATATATGGCATTTGTGTTTAGTAATCAGCATATACCCGACTTTGCCCACCCGTACTACAACCAACCAAAACCAAAATTCAAAAACAAACACAAAGAAAACACAAACGCAAACAAAAAAGCAAACGAAAACAAACACAAATCCTAAGACAAACCCAACCACAAATGCAAACCCAAACATAAACGCAAAGTGCTCACAGTCTAGCCCGGGGCTCCACATCGCACCATGCTGAAGCGCCGGCGGAATCGCGTGAATCAACGACTATAGTACCCCAACTTATTCTTATTACCCACTTAAACGAAAATAGGCGCCATAACTAACACGGTAAGGCTCGGGGCGCAAAATAACAACCTGTCGGGGCGCCGGAGGAAGCCCGGATTCGATTCAGTTAAAAACTATAGTAATCTTTCTTATCCAAAGTCTATCGCAGTGTTTAAAACTAAATTCTGCATCATTGCGCTCACAGGATAGCCTATACGCCAAATTGAACCCTGCCGGGGCGCCAGCGGACACGCCTGATTCAATTTAGTGAACGATTATAATACCCCAAGCTTATCTGCAAACGAAAAGATCGAAGTAAACATAGAGGACATTTAGGAGCTGGCTTCTAAACTGTTATTGATTAAAAATAATCTATCTATATAAAAAGCAATGTATGTCTGTCTATCTGTCTGTTTGTCCTTTATGCATTACTACACCTCTCATCACATCGCCGTGAAACTTTGAAAAGTTTTTGTGAATATTCCTGGTGAAGTTTCTGCGAAAAAAAACTTTCAAATTCGCAAGGGCGGCGCCACGGGAGGGTGCGATTTTTCTGTACATACGGTATATAAAAATAATAAAGTGAATTGCAGTGACACCGTTCTCACGATCGCCATGAAACTTTGGGAAGATGTTGAGAATACTCCTGGGGAGGTTTTTGCGCAAAAAAAACATTTTCAAATTCGTAGTGGTGGCACCCCCGTAGGGCGCGATTTGTTTTATCTCTATATGCGGTATATAAAAATTTAAGTCGATTGTGGTTTCTCACCATTCATTTCCCCCCCCCCCCCCCCCCTCGAAGAGATGCCTGGAAGAAACTCTGACGGTATATAAAAATATAAGACGATTGCGGTTCGACACAGTTCATCCCGGTGACATAAAACTTTAGGGAGTTGATGAATACTCCCGAGAAGGTTTTTGGGCTGGGAGGGGGTAATAGGGGTAGGTAGGTGGTGGGGAAGGGGGGATTTAATTTTGCATGGGCGGCCCCCCGGCAGGATGCGATTTGGTGCCCTGGTCTTTCCCGTGAGCGCTATGGTGAGTACGATCGTTCTAAATAGTGTGATAAACCATGGATAAGATCTGGCGTAATAGTCGCTCACTTAATTGGATCAGACGTGTCCGCTGGCGCCCTGATAGGGTGCGATTTGGCATCGACAAAAATTTCATTTTTGGCCCCCGAAGGCTCACATGGGCCGCTGAGGGCCATGTAATACGTTTTGTTTTAATAATCAGAAAAATTAACCACTGTTAGATTATTAACTAGGATGTTTCTTTTTGTCCCTAAAAAAATCCAAACAGTTTTGTCACTTTGCGAATGATGCAATTAGCATCCATTTTTAGACGATCCAATCAGAAATTGAGATCGAGCATCTAATAATAGACCATTAGTAACGCTAACATATTGCATCAGTCACACTGATGTTTAAAACACGTCAAATATTTTTTTTTACGTGCTAATGAAAAAATCCTGTTCATTTGTGTCACTTTAGCGAATGAAGCAATCTTCATCATTGTCAACAGGATGCTATTTGACACTCTGGGTTATCCTATGAGAACGATGGCGCCTATGTTAGTTTCAAGTAGTCAGGGGCCGTACGCGGCACCTCTGCAGTAGTGTAACTGGGGCCTCCCGAGAGCGCCCCTCTACGTCCTTGACACATGGATGGTCACCGAAGTATGTTCTACCTCATTATTTCGCTGAGTGATTAACGTATACTCAAGTTTTTCACACGGTAGTGTGGGTAAACCCTTGTGCCGATAATTATGATGCAAGCGTATGTATTGTTTACATTTAAATAACTTAGTTTTAGAAGAAAAGGTCACGCGTCTAAGACATAGGATTGGTAACGCATTGATGAAACCCGTCTTATATATAACGCCAGACTTACTCCTATCCCCGCGTCAATGCGGGGCGGGTACGCTAGTATATATATATATATATATATATATATATATATATATATATATATATATATATATATATATATATATATATATATATATATATATATATATGTATATACTAGCTGTATGTCATTGCTTCGCTATCATGTAATAAATCATAATAACTTGAAAGTACTACTCTGAAGAAATAAGAAAAGACACACAATGTAGGCTGACAAAAGAACACAATTTAACACTGAAAATAAAAACAAACAAAAATAAACCGGGAGTGATCTCCCCTAAACTTTCTCGAATATTCTTATATAATAATAATCATTAAAAAAGTTTTAAAAAACCCACGTTTTCTGATTGAACTAAAAAGTAGAAAATAAATGTTATACATCACAATAATGCAAGCGATCACTCTACTATAAGCGATCAAAAACGTGGGGCGCCGTGATTTTCTTACAGTTTCTAATACTATTGACTTTTATTAGGGAGCTTGTAGAGAGTCAACAGTATTAGAAACTGTAAGAAAATCACGGCGCCCCACGTTTTTGATCGCTTATAGTAGAGTGATCGCTTGCATTATTGTGATGTATAACATTTATTTTCTACTTTTTAGTTCAATCAGAAAACGTGGGTTTTTAAAAACTTTTTAAATGATTATTATTTTCTACTTTTTAGTCTTTGTCTGTTTGTTTGCATTAAAATCTCGTAAAAGTTGTATAGCATTAAAGTCTCGTAAAAAGACAACTCGTAAAAAACACGTTGTGTGAATACGTTACTGACTAGAACACATAGATTTGAACCCGCGCCGAGCGGGATAGCAATCGTGTGCCCAACCACTCGACCATATCGTCTCCCCCATACTGGCCACCAGTTGTTACGTTCTGGTTGTTTGTACACAAACACTGCGTGAACACTAGTCAGTAAGCAAAAAGAGGGAGAGTCCCGAACCTTGTTTTCATCAAATTACAGTTACTGGGTTATGTCCCTTTTCCCCCACGTTTTTGTACAATTATATAGCGGCCTAAAATTATCAATAAAATGTTTCCATGGATCAATTTAGTAATAATAACAATTGAATATTCTATGGTCATCGGAAACAAAGCTTCCCTGAAAATTTCAGCGCGCTAGCTAACCGGGAAGTGCCCGAAATTTCGATCGCAAGATTTGATTGGAGAACCAAACAGACGCGAAAGCAAGTTAAAGAAAACGTGGGAAAATAACAGGGGATGGGAACTCGGGCTATAGACACGATTTTTAATCCATTTTAAATACTTAAAGTTTTAAAAATAGAATAAAATCTCGTAGACAAATTAATTGCACACCAAGTGAACGCCAAATCAAAAAGCGCATAATAGTGCGCAATATTATTAGTACTTTTAAAATTTACATTAGTTTTTTGAGAAATCGGAAGTAGCGTAAACTACTACTTCCGGTCAACGGAAATTACTCAAAATTTAACAGAAGGTAGAGAATTAGATATTTTACTTACATGTGAAATTTCATTTATCTATCTGAAATAGTACTCAAGTTATAGGCTTTTGAAAAATTCAAAGTAGGAAAAGTACCACTTCCGGTTATCGGAAATCGCTCAAAAGTTGATACGGATCTACGATTTTGATAAAATACTTATATATGAAATTTCATCAACCTAGCTGTAACGGTACTCAAGTTATCGTGTTTACACACGGACACACACACACACACACACACACACACAGACATACGGACAAGATTGCAAAATTATGTTTTTCCGTATCAGTGAGGTGTAAAACGTCGAGATTTGTAAAAATCTCGATTTTTTTTTTTTGCACGATTACAAGACTTTCTCTATACTTCGTATATACGAGAAGGTAAATACATACACACAATACAACCAAAAACAATTAACGCAACGCATTCTGTTTAATCATTGTCAAAAAAAAAAACAATTTGACATAATGATTCCTAGAATATTAATTAAGACAAGCGAACGAGGGGAAATGATCACTCTGTTAATATAACTATGTATATTTCTACAAATTTAATTGTAAATGTCAAAACAAATCAATAATATTTATATTATGGAATATAGTAGCTTAACACTATTTGTTTTATAAAAATATGTTGTCTACAATCAGAATTTAATATATTGTCAATATAAATGCTAAAATATTAGAGCATAACGAAATTTTTTTAAATCAGAGTTGGTATAAAATCAAACTTTTATAATCAATAGAAGTACAAATCCCGTAGGAGGAACATTCTGAATAATAGCTTACATATTTCTATATTAAGGGTCTTGCAGTTCCGATCATTTAGTTTTTTAATTAGCTAGGGCCTACTGTTTTTTGTGTTCTTTAAAGATTATTTTTTAACATAATGATATGGTATGGATTAGATCTCTGTATTGATCACACACCTCTTTACTGGTAATTGAAAAATACAATATTTACAGAGTTTTACCTGTTTCAAAAGCTATGATTCTGTCGGCATGGTACTTTGGTACCTCATTACGTGTTGTTCCAAATGTACTTAACAGGTCAGTTCGGGTGGATTGAGGGGGGGGGGGGGGGGGGAATTTCAACTTCATTCACCACTGTCCAGCCACTTTAGGTGAATTATCCTACTCAGCGTATACCTAAATGTGACATTAATGTCGCTATACACAATTGTGGTAAAGGAATTGATGGGATCCTTCGTGAAGAACAAGCTGGCTTCAGGGCCAACAGGTCATGTAACGACCAAATATTTGTCTTGCGCACTATAGTGGAACAGTCCCTGGAGTGGAATTCGTCTCTCTACATCAACTACATAGATTTCGAGAAAGCATTTGATAGCATCCACCATCCATCATTATGGAAGATACTAGAGCTATGTGGCTTTCCAGGAAAAGTCATAAACATACTTAAGGACATGTACTATGATAACCAATGCTGTGTGCGACACAAAAATCAGCAAAGTGAATGGTTCAAGGTAAAAACAGGAGTCAGACAGGGCTGTGTCATCTCACCTGTCATCTTTTTGGTGGTAATAGACTGGATTATGAGAAGAGCCACTGAGGATAAGTCAAGAGGAATTGTTTGGGAACTTACCAACCACCTAGAGGACTGTGACTTTGCTGATGACTTGGCTTTACTTTCACATGCCCAAAAAGACATCCAAGCAAAAACCACAAGAATAGAGCAAGTTGCCAAAAGCGTTGGGCTAAAGATAAACTCCGGAAAAACCAAGCTAATGAAAATAAAAACCAAAAGTGCTCTCAAGACCTTTGCGAATGGAGCAGAGCTAGAAGAGGTCGAAGACTTTAAGTACCTCGGCAGCTATATATCAGCAAATGGCAGCATGGAGAAAGAAATTGCCACCAGAATAGCAATGGCAGGACAAGCTTTCAACAGACTCGCTAAGATCTGGAAATCATCCTCACTGCAGCAGAGAACTAAAATAAGGATCTATAAGTCAAATGTACGTTCTGTACTCCTCTATGCTGCAGAGTCATGGAAACTAAACAAGAAAGGAGAGAGCCGACTCAGAGGCTTTGAAAGAAGATCCCTCCAACGCATCCTCAGGATAAAGTGGGACGACAAAGTCCCGAACAAGGAAATATGGCGAAGGACAAGATTAAACGACATTGTCTCAGAAGTTCGAACGAGGAGATGGAGATGGCTGGGCCATGTCCTACGCATGAGCAAAAAAAAAAGACTCCCCAACATGGCGCTGAAGTGGAACCCACCCGGAAAGAGAAATAGAGGAAGACCACTGGGAACATGGAGGAGGGAGATGGAAGAAGAAGTGCAGGCTACTGGCAAAACATGGCATGAACTAAAGTGGCTCGCCCAGGACAGGGTGGAATGGCGGAGATTTGTTGCTGCCCTATACTCCACAGGGAGTGATGAGGATTAAGTAAGTAAGTAAGTACACAATTGTGGTGGGCAAGTGGGGGGGGTGGGTAATAACCAACTCAGAGTGAACATAGCGTCAGTTTTTAAATGACTGTTCTAAACATACATATACAATTATACATGTATACTGATTCGGAAATAGATTTAAATAAGTAACAGTGGTATTATGACAGTAACATTTTTTTACAGAGGGGTCCCTAACCCCACCCCCCACCCCCTCCTGCCTACGCCACTGGTCATCGGTATAGCAGTTTTGTCTTCGTCAAAGCTTTATAATGCTCTTGTTTCCTAATAAAATTAGAATTATGTTAATTTGTTAGCCATCATTCAATGGGGGGGGGGGGGAACCTTATCTTGCTTTCATTCTCTTAAATTAAGGACCTGGTGGTCATTTTATACCACCTTTATTGTTTTAGCATATTGCCTAAGTTTATATTTTTGTGCCATAAAAGTCTACCCTGAGTATCAACTACTATCTAAAACCCTGAACAAATGCATGTTTTGTTGATTGAAAAGATTATTCTTTAAAGATGAAAAAAAAAAATCCTTGTCCCGGTTTTTTTTTTTTCAAATAATAACAAACTTTTATATAACTATGCACTAAAAAGGAGAAAATAAATGATTTTCTTTAAATATATAATAATGAACTACTATTTAAATAACTAAAAAATAAAAGTGTGTGTCGCCTCATAAATTTTATTAAAGGTATTCAATAGATAATAAACAAGTATAAATAAAAGCTTGTGAAAAGCTTGTAAAAAGTCGTCAATATCCTGAAAATAATTTTGGTTGTAGGTGGTGGGGTGACACCCTCGGCTTGAGTACCGGGCGACAATGGCACTGATTAGGTCTATGTCACCTGTGCGGCTTTGTTAACACGCTTTAAAATTGTAGTGCACTATTACATTTTAACGAATATAATTTTTCCTCTTTTTGTGCACAATTAGGTTCTTATTATAATTTTTTTTTTTTTGGAAACGTATATTTGTGTTCATCTTGAAAGTTAATAGGACAAACAGCAAATGTATTGCTTTTGTCTGGTTTTGTTTTATCTTTTCGATGTAAACGTAAGTGATAACTTTTTCTTAAATAAAAAATTAGAAATACATACAGTTTCTAAACCGTGAATAAATTCTTCTAGACAGATATCCGTACATCATCTACCAGGATTACGTCTCGAGATGAAGCAAACCGATTCAACTGTAGTCAGACTGTAGTAAACAATGGCTATTGACTTACTGGATCTGTGGTCGTGCAAGCAGCAGCTAGCACAGCGCTATTACATGATCAATACATAGGTAGTATTCTGGCATGCATGGGTTTGATACTTTACTTCTCTTCCATGCGGTAAAAAGAAAGAATTGCAAATAAACGAGTATATTTTCTTTCTTAAATGTTTAGAGCCTGCGCTTGAGAATTGTTAATATACGTTTCCTCATAAAGTGGCGATTCTGAGTTTAATAACAGACATTAGATTCTGGCAAAACAAAAAAAAAAACGTCAGAAAATTCGATAACCTCATGTCACGTGCTATAACGTATCAGAATTGTACGTTCAAGTGGGGGGGGGGGGGGGAACTGCTCAGTTCCGACGAGAGGCATCCTTGATAATTGAGTGGCATCCTTGTTAGTAGGCCTACAACGGAACGGTTGTGTCTTAATCAATGACACAACAGTGGTGTCTTAATCCAATGACACAACAGTGGTGTCTTAATCCAATGACACAACAGTGGTGTTTTAATCCAATGACATAACAGTGGTGTTTTAATCTTACCGCACTACTACCACACAAGACAACCATTTTTCGCAAACTACCCCTAGATTTAAATAAAATAAATACAAATAAACACCCCAGCCGCTCACTAAAGTAAAACTGCACTGGAAATAAACAAAACGTAATATAACTAACGAGCTGATCCGTGGTGTATCATACGCGGCTATTTAGTTGCTTTATTTTCTACTATTCAGTACTTCATAGTTAGGGAATTCGACACTACCCTCCCTTCCACCCCCACCGTTAAAGCAGCCGACCGTGACAACGGTTTACAGACGACAATAAAAAGGTCAAGCAGAACTTCTTACCTCTTCTTAGTTTCAAATAGTTTAATAGCTAAATTATCTGCCCCTAGTAGCCGTTGCTAACTCGACCCGGCTCTAAAATTGTAAGCATTCGGGGTGAACCTTTGCTCACCAGAATAATGGGGTTGGGGTGGTAGCTATATGCCTTGAAAGCGGGCAATTAACGGCGTGCGTTTACGTGGTGTCTCGCATGGTCCCCCATGAAGAGAAATATATATATATATATATATATATATATATATATATATATATATATATATACTATATAGAGCATAGCCCCACCATCACTACCGCCACAACCAATCAATCGTATGAAACTTATTTGTTTGATTTCAAAGGGAGTAAAAATCTTTTTATCCACTTTGCTTTAAAATGGTACATTACAAACACTCAAAAAAGGTATTACTCATCTTTTTGACGAGCCAAGGGCAACAGTTAATTTTTGTAATATCGATCAACTCAGCAAATCCACTACTCTACGTGCCCATGTTGTGATGTGTATCTCTCTTCGATTTACCTCTGAATGTTCATCATCCCAGGCAGTTATTAAAGAATAAAATAATTCGTTTCAAGAAAAATGTAGGCCATAGTTCACGTAGCAAGAGTGGTTAAATTTTCTATAGTTTCATATATATATATATATATATATATATATATATATATATATATATATATATATATATATATATATTGAGATGGCTGGGCCATGTCCTACGCATGAGCAAAAAAAGACTCCCCAACATGGCGCTGAAGTGGAACCCACCCGGAAAGAGAAGTAGAGGAAGACCACTGGGAACATGGAGGAGGGAGATGGAAGAAGAAGTACAGGCTACTGGCAAAACCTGGCATGAACTAAAGTGGCTCGCCCAGGACAGGGTGGAATGGCGGAGATTTGTTGTTGCCCTATACTCCACAGGGAGTGATGAGGATTAAGTAAGTAAGTAAGTAAGTATATATATATATATATATATATATATATATATATATATATATATATATATACATATATATATACATATATATATATATACATATATATATATATATATATATATATATATATATATATATATATATATATATACAAACACAGAATTCAAACATTGGATACTCATTTCTGGCCTGATCGGGTTTTGAAAACAAAATGAAACAAATTACAACTTGTCAGGTGTGTGAGTGCACTCGACGGTTGGGATCTGTCCTGTGTTCCAGACAAGTTAAGTAATTTATGAAGATTTACTACTTCTTTCCCCCCCCCCCCCCCTTGCGTTAATGCCTCTGCTGGGATATTATCCGGTCCTGATGCCTCTTGCCACTCTTCAAACTATTTAAGGCGTTGAGAATTTCCTGTCTGGTGATTTCCTCGGTATTGATGTTAAGATTTCCCCTGGCTCTAGGTCTGGTGGATCTTGAGGTGCTGGGCCGTTTAGTATTTCCTGGAAGTGCGCTCTCTATCGTGCCAATTGTTCCTCAATTTACGTTAGAAGTTTACCATTTTTGCTCCTCACTGGTCAGTTGGGATTGGTTTACCTCCCACTCAGAGCTCTGGTTGTTGCGGCATGAGATTTCCCTTACTGGCAGCTGTTTCAGCCTGTTCTGTCATTTCATTTATAAACAATCTCTTGTCTTTCTTAGTTTCCTTTTCACCTCTTTAGCCTTTTTTGTTATATCGAGAGGCTGCTGCTTGTTTCTGTTGCCGTGTTTTTGCTTGATTTAGTTCGCTCTTTAGGCTCTTTCTTTCTTCCACCTGACATGTATCATCTGTGATCCAGGGCTTCCTGTTGGGCGCTTTTCTTCCTAGAGCCTCTTTGCAGGCTTCAATAGTGGCTTGCTTAAATATTTTTAGCGTAGCACATGATAATGGAGGTCTTTTGAAACCTGGATTCAAATCTAGTTTTATAACTATTCGATCAGATACAGGTTCCCATTCCATCAGGCTTTTTGTTGCCTCCTTTGTCAATAGCAAGGCTACGCCTGCCTCTCGTTGGTCATCCACTTTTTCTTTTCCGGAGTATAACAGTGTTTCTCCCGTCTGGAATTTTGTCTCTCCAAAGGTGTTCCATCTTGTTTCGCACAGGCCGAGCACTGTATGATGATACTGTTGCATTTCTTTCACTGCCTGTGCACACTTCCCTGCTTTCCATAGTGTTCTGACGTTCCATGTTCATATGAGGATAAGTTTCTTTTGCGACAGTAGTTTTGGGGCTGTGAATTTAGTTTTCCTCGGTTGAAGAAGGGGCGTCGGACGGTAGCTTCCTTGCGGATTTGGCTGCATTGCGTCATACTTCTAAGTGGAGCCCTGGTTCTTCCGAGGACTGGATTAATTTCAGATTTGGCTTCGGTTTCTGTAACTATATTTTGTTTTATGTGGACGAGTAGTTACCCATCGCACAACCCCCAACCTGGAGGACCAGGGCACAACGTTTGGTCTGGCCCCTACCCACGCAGATCTGTCCGACTTGGTTAGACCTGCCAGGAGCACTAGGCTCCCGCCGGCATAGCTCTGGGGGTCGCTGGGGCACACAAGCCATCCCACCACTTCAAGCCGGTGTGCCATCAGGATAGAGTTGTTTTCGTTACGGCTACGTATTTCTAAGAGATACAAAGGACTTGATAAAATTCTGGCAACAACAATTTGGAACCAGCTTTTCAAGCCTACTGAAGGTAATATAAAATTTTACAACAGCTTTAAAGTAGTTATGTTCAGTGAAGTTTAGCTAAGTTCAATTTAGTTTAGAAATAACATGTAGCAATATATAAGACAATTAATAGTGTAAAGAGTTGTTGAAATAAAGTGACTGTAAGAGTGTAGCATCAACAATGCAGAAAGTAAGTAAAACAAACTTTATAAAACCATTAAATTTCTTTACATAATCTTTATGTTTTTATACAATATTTGACAAATTTATTATATGTATTATTATATTACACTCATCTTATTTTTAAAAGTGTAACAAATAATACATAGGGTCACATTTTGGTGGCTAGACAGAATGAAATAATGGTATTTCAATTTATTTCAATTGAGGATATCTTATAAATACAAGATATACATATGAGGAGGGTTAATCGAACAAATTAAATTTGTTTTTTTTTGGTACCACAGTACTTATCTTCCTTTATGTTAGAGAATAGATTAATCTTAAATTAATTTTTATGACTAATTAAATAACTATGTATGGTTTAAAATGAGATTTTCTAGTTGTCAACATAAGGTATTGATCAAGTAAGTTTTAATAAAATTGCTTCAAAAGAAGTAGGTCAAAAGTGAGCTTCTAAATTTACTTACAGGCAAACCACCGTGTGACCTATGTAAAAGCTTGTAAAAAAAAAAAAAAACTTCTAACTGACAAAAAAATAAAAGTCAGGAAGCTTATTTAGAAGGTTAAATAAGCAATACATCACATGACCACAGCAATCCCAAACTTTACACTAGACAGAAACATCAATATAAAACAATACAATTTTAAACAATTAATATTTTTTAATAAGGTTAGTGGCAGTTATTGAGGATCTATATTTATTTGAAAATTGACAGGTCAAAAAAATTGCAGTTCTGTTTGCTGTAATAAAAATCATTTTTACATCATTTAAAAAGCCTATTTAGTAAGTCAGTGGTTTAGCTTCCATTTACTGGTCTAAATGATGTTTTCAAAAAATCCTGATGTTACTCTTTAAGTGATAGATGTTAACAATTCAATGGTTTTGAGGATGGAGTCAATTTAATATTTTTTATTTGTCTTTATAACCAACTAAACTAATTTCAGCATTTCTACATCTACAAAAGTATATCTTGTGATATTAAAAAAGCTGTAATGCTTGAAACAGTGCATTACATTTAAGCCCTTTATAATCATTTCAAAAGATAAGTTTTCTCACAATCCCTCTATATATTCTGGCTTTAATTTACAACTTTATTCTAATAAGTATATATAAGAATTTACAGCTCATCTCAAAATCTCACCCCTTTTACTGAAATCAGCACCGTTTATATACTAAAAACAAACATTATATACTAAAACAATATATTAAGAACCATCTGAATTTACTCTTCGATAAAACAGTAAATATGCATTTTGTCGAATCTCTTCTGAATTCAGCTGATATTCCATGTTTACTTCAGTTACAGTCTGATCATCCATACGAAACCATTTGACACCATCAAGGCAGTAGTTAATGTAATGACCATATGATGTACTACTAGCTCCCAAATGTAAACATAACCCATATAGTTGATAAATATTACTTCCTGTAGAAGCAGTTAAATCACTTCTATGAGTCACAGTGTCATATATTACCTCTTTCAAATTTAAATTGTGCAGACGAATGTTTACAGATGTGGTGATCTTTGTTGGGGCCTGTTCTATTGGATCATATTTGAATCTCATTAACTGAACTATGAGACACTCCGGCAATTGTCTAAGCAAACAGCGCCGCTGTAATTTTGTTTGCTTCCTGAGAAAAGCATTTTCTCCTAAAATAGGCGTAGAAGTTCTAAATGCATTGTTGTCAAAGTATACATTACCACTGTATCTGTAATCTGTAGGTGGAGACAGTGGATAGTTCTGGGGTATTGTAGTTGCAGTTAAATGTAATGATGATGCAGAAGAAGGGGAAACTGATAACTGAATAGGTGAAGGCATGTATGTTGTTGCCTTTACCTGTAGTTCTTGATTAACAAGCTTTCTAGAAACAGGTGTAGCAACTAATGCATCTTTACCACCATTTTTATAGTGATGAAGTTCTGATGATAGCTGAGTATTTTGAGATACAGGAATGTCATCATCACCATTAAGTTCAGAACTTTCTGGAAGGTTCTCAATGTTGCAGAAACTGGTAAAGCAATCCTCAAGAAACACTGGACCAGATGAATATCTTGGTGAAGCTATTGGAACAGGCAGAACATTAAAGGCTTGTAGATTTACAGAAATGTGGCCATGTTGAACATTGTGGTAAGCCTCAACTAGCTGGCCAGTAAACAAATTATCAATCACAGTGTCATTGGCTTGTTTATGAGTTAACCATTCTAAATCAGATAACCTCTGGATAGCCTCAGCATAAGATTCATTTTCTAAGCCATTAGCCACAGCTATCTGTAAAATACAAATGATTTTTAATGAATATAAAAATTTGACTGGGTTATGTTGCTAATAATACTAATATATCTAATCCATCCTTCAACATGTCAGTAGAAATATATAATAAAGTTTCACTATTCTGTCTGTCTACAATCTAGTGTCACATGAAAATATGAGAAAAATATAAAATAAGTCAAAATAAATGGAAAAAAAATAATGGACAAGATACAGAACGATATTGATGCAATACACAAAATTATTCACTAATTTTTTTTATTAGATTCCATTCTAGGTATAACTACAAAAAGGCAAATGTTTTTCACGAAATTCACAATTAGGTTATTATTTATGACTGATATAATAAGAGCAAAAGTTTTATATTTAACAGTCTCATTACTATTGTAGTGTAATAGCTAATTTTTAAAACTAAATGAAAGAAGTTCATGTTATTCATGTTATAACTATGTAAGTCTTGTTTGATTGCAATTTAGCATTTCAAGTAATATCAACTTTTAAAAAAATTTTAAACTTTACACTTTAACAAAATTGGAAATGAAATTTTAACATTTAGCTAATTTAAACTGTATTATGCCTTACCACATTCTTAAAGATAGACAAGGTAAAAATGAAAGTCTTCAACACAACACTAAACATCCTTATTTATATTAATAGCTATAGAAAAAGTGAAATCGAAAGGATTGCTGAAATCAGAAAGGGTTAATACTTATTTTAAATGTGCATTCAGACCAAAGCCAAATCCCTATTTATGCATTAACGATAGCATTAAGACTGTTATTAATAATTGTCGGTATCATATTGTTTCTATCACAAACAAAACTGTCAAGTTCAAGTTAGCTTTGAAATCTGTAGGCCTATAGCATACCTCTTAGCAGGAACAACACTGCTATTCATAGTCACCCTTTGCAATAATTTCAAAATTAATTTGAGGTTGCAAAATAAAATGGAAGGCAGAGAAAAATGGTCGATATCAGGTAGCTTTGAAAACAGAGAGTGAATTAACCCTTTATTTAAGGAATTAGGTTCTGAATGAAATTTTTTCTTAATGTTATCACACTTAAAGCATATGTCGAAGAAAATATAGTTTCCTTAATTTTTAATGGTCCAAACATATATTGCTACTATGTACCGTTAGGAATGTAGGACATTTTTTCCAAAAAATAAAAAAATTAACAAACAGGAACAAACGATACAATTTGTTAACTAATAACATGGAAATCATTATAACAATCATTTTTTGTAATTTTCACACATAAACACAGCACATAAGTATTTTGAGTACAATTTTTATGTGTTTAGAATAGGCGTATTGGCTTGCTGTTTTGTTTTATATAAATAATTTTTTTTTAAATTCGTCTTAAATTTAAAATAATACAGGCGCTTAATTAAAGTGGTACTAATAAGTATCATCAGTAGATACAGGGTTAAAATACCACTAGATAATGCCAAAATTTGGAAAAGTCAGAAAGTTTTTTTATATTTGTTTTCTGTTCCACTTTTTAGTTATTAATTTGTTATAATTAAAGTTGACACCACAAAAACTATGACTATATTAGCTAGTAGTACGAAATTTTTTAATTAATTAAAATGACAAAATAACCAAAGGTTGAATTAAGGGAACTAAATGCTGCAAAATGATACCAAACTTATGTTGATAGGGTAAACGGTTCTCTAGATCTGACGGTTTTAGTGTAAAAATTGCGGGGACAACTAAGCCTATGAAGATTGAAAACAAAAATAGGTCACGTCAAGTGTATGGAAAAAAGATGAATGTGAAATAACTCAGCACAATTATAAATTTTAAATTGGTATTTTTTAATGCATTTACAACAGCATCGAGTATCTCTACCAATATATTAATACATTTTTTTTTTAAATTAAATAAAAATAGACCATTGACTAGATTTAATAATTTAAATCCAACATCACAGAATTAGTATTAGTAAAAAGTGGCTGACCACACTGTCCAGTTATGATAACATTTTACAAAAGGTTGGGAATACCAGGTCTGGAGAAAATGTCTGGCAACAATGATAATAAGCTATGGATGGGGAGGTGTCTGGGAAAAAAGCGTGACTATGTTTGTGGACGATAAGGACAGAATCAATTCTGTACCACGTTTAGAAAAGCAAGATGTGCCCCAGGACTACATCTACATTGCAAACTTATCAACCATAATTGTACATACTTTCTGCTTCATTCTTAAATGTAGTATTGGAAGAGATCAAACTCATACATTCAACAAGGGCAACCCAATTAGCAATAGACAGCATTATCATTGCGTAAAGGTCTTTTATTCAGAAAGCCTCCCCCCACCACATACAATCGTTATCCGAGTGTGAGAGGGGTATCAAGCAAATAAAAATAGGTCTTTGTTTACAAGGGTATTTTTGTCCTTAGCAAGATAAATTAATAGGATTTGAAATAAATGAAGAATATCAGTGTACACATTCAGCTTGTACAAAAACACTAATAAAATGTTGTATTTTAAACTAGTACTACATATAATAATAAGATTTGGATCTCGCATAGTCAAGTTGATTATATTAATCAACCAACCACAGTTCAATTAATAATTTCCCCAGATACATTTTTATTTTACATTTTAAATATGCCAAATGGCCTGATATAATACAAATATTACGGAATACAAAAGCAGAGAAAAAGTAGTATTGATATTGCTAATACTTGGGCCTATGGGCTCTATTTTGTTAGTAGGGTTTTACACGGGTGAAGAAAAAAGTAAAAAAGATTGGTGAAAAAATCAAATAAAATTGTACCGGGTCCCACTAAATTCAAATTTAAAAAAGTCTAAATGTTTTCTTATTTTCATTGATATAAATACTAACGGATACAGCAACAAAACAAATCTATATCGCTTTCTTCGATATTTAGATGTAATGCATTTAGACAAAGCTAATTTTCGTAGTTAAAAATTAAACTAAAAATTGTAGTCTTACTCAAATCAAAGTTATTGCCATTATTTTTAGTTTTATATCATTCTTTTTTTTTTAATAGACACTAATTTCAACTTTATGTTGAGTTATCGTAAGCTTAATTCAGTCATTAGTAGCAATTTTTACTATTTTAAAAAATATCTACTCTTTTAGTAGTTCTATTTTACAATCTAAATTATTAAAATTATTTGAGAAAAATAAACGGGGAGTGATCTCCCCTAAACTTTCTCGAATATTCTTAACTCGGAATATAGACATGATTTTTAGTTACTTAAACTTTTAAAAATAGAATAGAATCTCATAGAAAAAAGAATTGCGCACCAAGCGAACGCCAAAACAAAATGTGCATAATAGTGCGCAATATTATTAGTACTTTATAAATTTACATGCTTTTTTTGAGAAATCGGAAATGGAGTAAATTACTACTTCCGGTCAACGGAAATTACTCAAAATTTGATAGAATGTAGAGAATTAGATCTTTTACTTACATGTGAAATTTCATTTATCTATCTGAAATAATACTCAAGTTGAAATATTCAAAGTAGAATTTGTAAAAATGTTGATTTTTTTTTTTTGCACGATTACAAGACTTTCTCTATACTTCGTTCATACGAGAAAGTAAAAATGTATTAAATTTGTTGACATAATTCCTATAAAACGAAGTACCACGAAAATGCATTACTGTTACAGCTAATATATTACCTAGTTTGTGAGAAATTTTTCATAGTCTACTAAACTAATAAACCTAAAATAAATATGCTAGCTAGAAAGTGTAATGAATACTGAAGATAATCCCACTAAAAATAGAGTTTGTCTCAATGTTTCACTATTTTAAATAATTTTTTGAAAACTCACCTTTTAAACTCAATATCATATTCACAAAAACAAGTAAGACGTTGAAATAAAAATGATACGGCGGTAACGGTCAATAACTACTGTCAATAAGGAGGGCATTTATAACTGGAATATTAATCACGTTCTATCGTTTTTTAAAAGGTTAAAGTAGCAATGCTAAAGACTAAATTTGAATTAGATTATTTTGTTCACAAAAGGTTTAGAGCCTGTGATGTCATATTTTATTTACTTGTGCAACTAGCTAGACTATATGTATTAAAGATCGATGTGTAGCTTGCAATCAGTAAAAGAAAATTATTTGGCGTATCTTTAGTCCATGGATGACATTAGGCAAATGTGTCACTTGGCAGTGAGAACAGTTTGCCATTGTTGGATAGCTGTATTTAATCTTGTTATTTCCCTTTTTATTATTGAATTTAGTAATGTTTTAATTAACTTTTAATGACTAATCTAGTAAAATAGTGAAAGGATCATTAGTGCCATTGGTCTTTTTGAAGGTCTACTGAGCATAGTTAAAAGATGGAATGGACATGGAACCAACAGCCTATCCAAGACAATAATGCTAGGCACTGTCATTGTTCCAGGAGGGAGAAAAAGGGGAAAGCAGTAAGTAACTGGATGGATGACATCAGCTGCCTGTTTTTAAGCTACTCACAGCAGCAGAGGACTGAGACAGATTGCAGAAAGTTATAGAAAAACATCTGTGGTGACTCAACAACCACAACAAGGGTTAAGGGATGATTGATTCAGGGATGTGACCAGACCAGGAAAAAAAAATTAGGAAATTTTTTTCGGATAATAACTCAATATGCCTTATCTACTTTTTATCGCGGTTAAGCAGCTTCATACTGTTACTGTACTAATAAATTGTTTTATGAAGTTAATATTCTAAATACAAGAAGTTAATGTTACTCTAAAATAACATTGAAAGTCTTGTCTAATTGCAATTTAATGTTTACCTAATAAACAACTTTTTAAAAATTACAATGTAACAAAAGTAGCTATTAAGTTTTATTTTACCATTAAGCTAATTTAAACTGTAGGCCTACTAATCTGGTGTAGATTCTAGATGTACTCCTGTTTTCAATTTTAAATAGGGGGCCTAATACCCTATATTCTTTTAAAGATTGCATTGGTAAAAATATTTGTCTTTAACTGTAAAGAGCCTAGATTAAGATTAGTTACAATTTGAAAGTTTTAGGTTCATGTGATGAAAAAATGATTGGACCAGGTTAGCTAAAATTAGAAAGGGTCTGACGTGTGAACGAAAGTAAATCATTTTGATAGCCAAGCCACATCGATATTTATGTTTTTTTTGGAATAGCTGTAAAATGTTAGGGGTCATCCACGTTTTTTTGACGATATTTACCTCCCCTCTGTCCTACAAAATCCAGACACCCCCCCTATAATGACGTCACACCTCAGCCCCTCCCCCCCCCCCCCTCGAATTGAATTTGAATTTTTTTAAAACATCGATTTTTTTCTAAAATATTGACTGAGGTCGACCAACATAGGGTATCTTATTCAATTTCTATGTTTTACAACAGTTTTCTAAAACTCGTAATAGCGGCTAAAATGCAGTTCTTTCTAACATTACTTTTTTTTAATGCAAAAATATGACGTTTCACTATCTTACGAGTGTGACGTTATTTATGGAAGACCTCTGAACGTATTTTTTCTTCCACAAACAAGACACGATCGTAGTCACGTTGAGTTTAGTATTTTTTTTTAAATCTGTAGGCCTACGAAGTATACATATTGCAGGAAAAGCTATTTGAAATTGACTGTGACGTCATTTTTTTCCCCCACAAGCAGTACCGAACACGTACTTGGGGTCAAGGTGAGGTCACAAGAGCCACCGTCCATTAGTACGAGGTGGGGAGGGTTAGTCTAGTCCTCATAGTCAATTTTAGCAAGGATTTCCATATTAAATTGAGATTGCGAAATAAAATAGAATCAGAGAGTAACTCTAGATTTAGGTGGGTTAAAATACCGATAGGTAAATTAGGCTATATCGATAGCTAGATTACCAGGCTTAAGAGATGTAAGTTTCATTTGAATAACTGCATTATTTTAGATTACCTTTTCCTGTGTTTTTGATAAATAGTTAACTAAAAATATCAGCGGAAAATTTGGACTAAAAAATTGTGCTTTGAAAAATACGTAAAAAAAAAATTCGTAATTCTGCCGAAATTCCGAATCTTAATCTACATTTAATCTTGATCAAGCACCGTCATGCCTAGCGCAATCGACCAATCGAAAAGAAATGCGCATAGAGTCCGTTTGACCTAAGTACAGTAGTTGTCGATTTAAATTTAAATACGAATAAGTGGAATGAGCATGTCTGCCCTTTTCGTAGAAGACATTTCCGTTTTTTTTTCCTAATTTTAAAAACTTCGTAAAAAATCAACAAAAATTGAAAGTCGACAGAAAAATTCGGCGAAAATAAAATCAGCGGAGGAAAAACGCAACTGAAACGGAAAAATCGGATTTCCGCTAAAATTCGGAAAAGTCACATCCCTGTTGATTGATTGACTGAATGTCTGGATGCTCAATCAGGTCCTTATGTGGCCACAGAGGAACTTGGGGCATCCAACACACTCTACTGCCTCATATCATATAAAAAAATTTAAGAGGATTTTATCATGGTATACAAATAGTGTTGTCAGACCTGAGAACTTCCTTTCTTAAAGTGAGGTGTTAAACTTTTTTTGAAAGAGAAGCATCTGGGAAGTAACTTTCTGTCATAACTTTAATGATAATAGTATAATAAACTTATACCTCTCTTCTGCACTGGTCTTTCAATTCATTAATACGATTGGTATTAAGATCACCATATATTAGTTTTAGGTTAGTCAACCTTGGACTTGAAAATCTATCATCATTTGTAATACTGGCAGGATCTAAGAAATAGAGAGTTAAAACAGTTAATGTTAATTTAAATAGTTATTGTCATTTAATTTTATAGGGAATACAGGCATAAAAACGGACAAAAATTATAATTACATTTCCTAAGTCAGATCAAACACTATATTATATATATATATATATATATATATATACATACATACATATATGTATATATATATATATGTATATATATATATATATATATATATATATATATATATATATATATATATATATATATATATATATATATATATATATATATATATATATGTGTGTGTGTGTGTATATCTATAATATAACCGGCTAGGTCAGGGGTCGGCAACCAGCGGCTCGCGAGCCGCATGCGGCTCTTTTGATATCAAGATGCAGCTCTCCAGCTCCTTGAACAAATACTAATAATCTTAATAAAAACATAAAATATTTGAAATAAAAAAAAATGTTAGTGGCTCTTTAAAACCAGGGAAATTTTGAAAATTGTAACTTTTGGCTCTTCCGCTTCAAAAGGTTGCCGACCCCTGTAATAGTAGCATTTGCTTCATAACGATCTTCTTTTCAGATTTTTCGTAATTAAATAATTTACCTTGTCTTCAACTACAACAAAAAAGCAAGGCATAGGCTGGGTTTTCCGTTCAGTTTTACACTTAGCTGGTTTACTATCTTTGTGATATCCACTATGAAGTTGAATGTTTCAATTCGATATGGACAATGTAATAGGAAGTACATGTAGATAAGGAGTAACTAAATATTCTTATAGAAAAGTGAATGTTTTATGTTTATATCTATTGTTATATCATTCATTACTGAGCGTTGCAGACTAATATTTTTATGATTTTTGAAAATAAATAATTATTAATAGTTGTGCATGGAGATGAAGAGCCGCAACTGGACATCAAAAGAGCCGCAGGTTGCCGACCCCTGTACTATTAACATGAATCACGTAAGCATTACTATAAACAAAATGAAGAATGGATTCACTGAGAGATTTGAGCAATTCAAAACAAATACAATTACTCTGACGTTCTTAGTAGATCATCTCAACACAAATTCAAATGAGATTATTTCATATATTCAAAGCTATTCATTTAAAATTTTATATATATATATATATATATATATATATATATATATCATAAACATGCTATTGACATAAAAATGTTAGTGGCTCTTTAAAAACTGGGTAATTTTGAAAATTTTTGAAAATTGTAACTTTTGGCTCTTCCATCTCTAAAGGTTGCTGACCACTGGGCTAGGTAGTGTGTCAGTCCTTCTGTCATTGCTATAGATTTTGGAACCATAAAAGTAAACAGCGCACCATGTAGTGCTTTTCAGTGCATCGCATTGTCTTATTATAAGGGTTTATTTATATAACGACATAAAGATATATTTATAATTGCCACTGTTTGTACAATTTTGCATAACGTAAAGAGAATATTAAATACACGCACATTGCTAAAACCAGGGATGTGACCAGACCAGGACAAAAAATTAGGAAATTTTTTTCGGATAATAACTCAATATGCTTTATCTACTTTTTATCGCAGTTAAGCAGCTTCATACTGTTACTGTACTAATAAATTGTTTTATGAAGTTAATATTTTAAATACAAGAAGTTTATATTACTCTAAAATAACAATGAAAGTCTTGTCTAATTGCAATTTAATGTTTACCTTATACAACTTTTTAAAAATTACAATGTAACAAAAGTAGCTATTAAGTTTTATTTTAACATTAAGCTAATTTAAACTGTAGGCCTACTAATCTAGTGTAGATTCTAGATGTACTCCTGTTTTCAATTTTTAAATAGGGGGCCTAATGCCCTATATTCTTTTAAAGATTGGATTGGTAAATATATTTGTCTTCAACTGTAAAGAGCCTAGATTAAGATTAGTTATAATATGGACGTTTTAGGTTCATGTGATGGAAAAATGAAATGGACCAGGTTAGCTAAAATTAGAAAGGGTCTGATGTGTGAACCAAAGTTAATCATTTTGATAGCCAAGCCACATCGATATTTATGTTTTTTGAAATAGCTGTAAATTGTTAGGGGTCATCCACGTTGTTTTGACAATATTTACCTCCCCTCTGTCCTACAAAAGCCAGACTCCCCCCCCCCCCCCCTATAATGACGTCACACCTCAGCCCCCCCCCCCCCCTTCCTCGAATTGAATTTGAATTTTTTTTTTAAACATCGATTTTTTTTTTATAAAATATTGACTAAGGTAGACAAGCATAGGGGATTTTATTCAATTTCTATGTTTTACAACAGTTTTCTAAAACTCGTAATAGCGGCTAAAATGCAGTTGTTTCTAACATTTTTTTAAAATGCAAAAATATGACGTTACACTATCTTACAAGTGTGACGTTATTTATGGAAGACCCCTAATTAAAAATTTAAAAACAGTCTGTACGTATTTTTTCTTCCACAAACAAGACACGGTCTTAGTCACGTTGAGTTTAGTATTTTTTTAAATCTGTAGGCCTACGAAGAATACGTATTGCAGGAACAGCTATTTGAAATTGACTGTGACGTCATTTTTCCCCCCACCAGCAGTACCGAAAACGTACTTGGGGTCAAGGTGAGGTCACAAGAGACACCGTTGCTACGAGGTGGGGCGGGTTAGTCTAGTCCTCATAGTCAACTTTAGCAAGGATTTCCATATTAATTAGAGATTGCGAAATAAAATAGAATCAGAGAGAAACTGTAGATTTAGGCGGGTTAAAATTAAGTCAGCCGAAATTCCAAATCTTAATCTACATTTAATCTTGATCTAGCACCGTCAGACCTAGCGCAATCGACCAATCGAAAAAGAAATGCGCATATTCGAGTGTCCGTTTGACCTAAGTACAGTAGTTGTCGATTTAAATTTAAATACGAATAAGTGGAATGAGCATGTCGGCCCTTTCCGTAGAAGACATTTCCGTTTTTTTCCCTAATTTTTAAAACTTGGTAAAAAATCGACAAAAATTGAAAGTCGGCGGAAAAATTCGGCGAAAATTAAATCAGCGGAGGAAAAACGCACCTTAAACGGAAAATTCGGATTTCCGCTAAAATTTGGAAAAGTCACATCCCTGTAAAACATATTAAAAGGATCAATGTCAAATATCGTTTAGTTAATATTCCTAGAAAAAGGGGATACATTTTAATAACATAATAACAGTAGTGTAGAAAAATCTAATTAAACTGTTTAGTAATGTTGCCAAGGGAGGTAATTTAGAAATAAATTGAACTCATGCTAAAAATGTGAATGCAAAATCTGCAAGACGGAATAATTGTTGGAATAATATAATTAACAAAATGTTAATGCAAATTATGCAGACGTGTAAGAGTACATTATTATTGGAATATTATAATTAGCATTGATTGATAAAAGGCTATCTTTTATTTATTTTATTCACTGAATGTACTGTTTACTAATTATAATTTTTAATCAACTATTCTCCATTATTATATTAAGTCATCGCGTTCATTAAGTGCGCAATGGTTTTAGTCATGAAACTTTATTGTAAATTTTAAAAAGTACTGCAAAAAAAAATGCATGAATTTATAAAGTGCAAGATGGTCGGTAAAACACGGATATTCTAAATACTGCCTTTAATTTATTTTCTACACTACTAATTATTATTCTATCTTTCTTTGCGGACAAGCTAGGGGTTTTATAGCAGAAACGTAGCAAGGTGGGGAGGGGGCATATGTCCCCGGACGCCGACCTTAGGGGGCGCCAAAATGGGTTGGATAAACAAATTGAAAATTTGCGGGGGTGGGGGGTGCAAATCGAAAGTTTAAGGGGGTGGGGTGGAAATTGAAAGTTTGAGTTTAAAATGCTTAAATGGCAGAATTCATAGCGTCTATGTACGTGCATGTGTGTGTATGTATTAATGTTTTCTGCCAAATAATCTAAGATTGGTTATCCTTCAAAAATTTTGTTTTGGGCCTTTTATTGCAGAAACCTTTCAACAACATCCAAAATTTACATGGTGATTGGATGAACCGTGTAGTAATGTATAAAAGATAAACACACAAACAAACACATATATATATATTAGCACGCCCACTGCACTTGTTTCTGCAATCTAAGGAGGAAGGCTGACAAAGCATTTTTTGAGGATTTCTTCAATGTACCTGTTGTGTATATTTAGACATACAGCCATAGTCCGAATGTCATGTGCCACCATGACCTTACAGTAAAATTTTAAAAACAAATGTAGGCACCACAGTGCTCTGAGAGCCTGGTGTGCTTCAGGTAACCATAGTGCTCACGGGGAACACGCGGCATTAAATTGCACCCTGCTTGAACAGGATTTGATTTAATAGCAAATCGCATTGCAATTTTTGAAACTAACATAGGTGCCGAATTGTAGCCTACTGGCATGCCGGAGGACTCGAATTGTAGCCTACTGGCATGCCGGAGGACTCACTTGATTCCATTAAGTGGGGAGCTCTCCCTTCAGACTCAGAGAAACCTTCCAAGGATTATTCTGATCAACTTCCCAAAGTTTCATAGCGATTGGATAAAAGGTGCCCTAATGCATAAAGGGCAAACAGATAGGCAGAATGACAGATACCTATTCTTTCATCACTGTATATAAGATAGATATATGGTATACACACACATTTTATATAAATGTGTATAAATATATGAACGTATGCGCCTTAGCGATACTAGAGCAACCCAGGCTCTGTCGGGCGCTGCGAACGCACCTGATTCAATTTAGTAAACGACTTAACTGTTTAAAACGAACATAGGCGCCAAAGCGTTCACTAGATTACCCGGGGCGCAAAATTGCATTCCGCAAAACTTCCCCAGACGTATTCTTAACAACTTCAGAAAGTTTCATGGCCATCAGATAAAAGGTGTAGGAATGCATAAAAGGCATATTAAACCAGGGACATAAAGGGGCGCTCCCGTGAGCCCCCGATTACACTACTGCAGGGGCACCGCGTACGGATTTGAAGGCGAATTTGAAATTTATTTTTTCGCAGGAACCTTCCCAGGAGTATTCTCAACAACTTCCCAAAGTTTCTTGGTTGCATTTAAATACTGCTTAATGTCAGCTTACATTTTGTTAAAAAAAAGTTAACCAGTAGCCTGAGACACTCCCCCCCCCCCCCCCCCCCCCCCCCCCCCCCCATAAAAAACCATAGCTTTGACATAACATTATTAATTTGATTATTTATGGCTTACTATGTTCTAGGCTACATGACTAACAAACGTGGAAGGCTTCTTATGTAATATAAAATATAAGTTAATAGCTAAGACTTAGATCTACCTAGTAAAAGTCTTGTTAATTCTTCATAATAGTAGTTACTAGTTAAAACCTACAAGATCTACTATCTAGATCTAGAAATTAGCGTGTTATTCATGATTTTATTGTACTTTTGTTCCTACATGTTATTTAAGGCATAATTTTAATCTGCAATTCAATTGCAAATACTAAAAGGAACTTCAGAAGCTAGATTGTCCACACTATCTATTAGTAGATATAGTATTTTTCACACAAACATCACACTACATATGGAGTAAAACAGTTGAATAGAGTGGAAGAGGTTGAATGTAACAGACTTAAATTGAATTTAATAAAATATGGTAGAAAGTGGAAATAGCATTCATGGTAGAATTTTGTTGAATTGATTAAAATAAAGTAGAATTAAGTAGAATATGTCGTGGAGTAGAATAGAGCACAATACAGCAAAATGTAGAAGATATTTTTTGCATAAAAATCCACATCTTGTGACCCACACAGCATATCCCACACATTATTGCACTAACACACAACCATTCACTCCACAAAATAACTACCACTAGCCAGGCCATACACCACGCAACACACTAAGTAGAATGTGGCAGAAGTAAAGTGAAGATAGTATAAGTAAAAGGGAATATAACAAGGGAGTTGAATGGAATGGTGTATATTGAAGTAAAGTGCAGTAAAGATTATTAAAATTTAGACCAACTAAAAGACCCCAATCCATACTTCTGTAATAAGACTGCATGTTCATTATCAAACTTGCAGTCTACTAAGCCTGATTGTGAAATTTCTATGAGAAAAAATACCACATTTTACAGTAAAAGTGAAAACAAAGTTGTTATACACATGACTGACTGAGATAAGGTTACATCAAGAGCACACTTTATACCTGCTAATATTTTATATATATATATATATATACACACACACTATGGCATATTTTGTAGTTGAAGTTGAAAAGGGATATTTTTAGTTTCAGTTTAAGGTTATAAATGTTCTAAAAACATACTTACCACATTCAAGGACTTGACTATTTTTATTTAGAATAGTATGTACTGTTGCAAGAAGCCACATAAGAAACTCTGCAGCATCTTGTTGTTTAAGCTGTTCTCCTGGTGGTGATACAAGACTTGGATTTAAGCCAGAGACAGCTTTACGAAATCTAGTAGCATTAAATGCTTTATTATCAGAACAACTTGGATCAATGGTCAATATATCTAAAAGTTCTGCTAATGAAGACAATAGATTTGATTCAGCCACATTGCATTCTAATTCTTTAGCAGCATCAGCTGTGATGCATTCAACTAAAAATGGACTTCTTGCTAAACATTGTACAACTGAGTTAATAAAGCACATGTTTTGTCCATTATTAACTAAACCTACAGGTTTTGGAATTGTAGGACGAAATCCAATAACATTCATAAACTTGTTTTTAATTGAAGTTGATGAGGGCATAGATTTAGGCAACTTATCAAGTTGCTGTGAGTGATGAAGAGATCGCCGTTGCAAATTTGTGTTTGACCAGAGAGTTTTCTTATCATTTGAATCTTTGTCTTGCAAACGGGAACATTTGTTATCGTACTGCCCTCTGTTAAGGTTAAAAGGAAGGCTATCTTCATTTGAGAAACTACCTACATTGTTCCGACTTCTGCCAGCTTGTGAAGTTAACATTCTACTACTTTGTTCAATTGCCTCTCTGTAAGAAGCAGAAGAAGGACCCATTGAATAGGTTGGTCTATTATTTCCTGGAATAACAGTAGCATTTGGTGGATATTGTAGATTAGCATGCTTGCTTAAAAAATTTAACTGTCCATAGTCTAACTCATGTCCTTTAATAACCTGGTTGTTCAGATTTGTTGCTTTATTTTGATTTACACCAGCAAGTCCTAGAGCTTGCTGTTGCAATTGCTGCTGTTGCTGTTTCTGACGTTCTATCTGTTTCATGCTCTCTTCATGTTGTAAATGATTTTCCCAATGAGAACGAAGATTGGCAAAAGCATTTGTTAAATCAGTACGCCCAAACACTTGTGTATATACAAATGTAATACTTGTAAAAATAATAAGAAGATATGGAACATGGTGAAACAGGTAAATCAAAATGCATATTATGCTCAAGCAAACTGATTCATACAACCAGATTGATCGCTTTTCCTGATCATTCCTGAAAAAAGAATAAAATGTAATTTAGGTTGATACTATGATAGATTTAGAATTTTTTCAACACAAATTGCATTATCTAATTAACTAGAAATAAGTTAGTAAGTTTATTAATATGAATATAGTCAAGGGTTTTTATAAACAGAAAATCCCTGCTTTTTCCGAATATTCTTTGCTATTTTTTTATATAATGGTCATTGTGCAAAACCATTTAACAAAAACATGTATATAGATTTTTTTTTAAATCCAAAAACAAGGCAGATGTATCTTCATTAATACTTGTATATAATTAAAACAATGAATGCCAAGTGTTTGTTGTGTACTTGTTATCTGTAAATTATTTATCCAACATGTTGGGTAAACTGAAGCAGAAGGTAAGTATTACAATTATATCATACCCCCCCCCTACTCCTGTTATATGTTTGCAGTTACAAAATAATCGTAACGAAAAAATTACCAGTTTTGCACTGCCTTATTAGAAGTATAGCCATAATTCTAATGAAAATGAAGGTTTATCAGCATTTTCAAATTATACTTTAAAAATTCATAACATTTCATACTTCTTACTTTCTTACCCACCCCCTTTCCATGCAAAACATTGTTTCAAAAACCAGTTACGCCACTCCTTAAGTGTGTTATGTGATTTATGGAAACAGGACATTCCCCCCCCCCTCGTCAATACCCCGCCCAGTAGGACATTACAACCCCCCATGGACGCAGCTTAAGGTTCAGCTAGGGTTAGAGCTAGGGTTTGAGTTTAGGCTAAGTCTAGAGTTAGTGTTAGGCAATGTCTAGAGTTGGGTTTGGTTTTGGGTTAATTTCAGGCTAAGGTGAATTCTGAGGTTTTTTGTTTTTAAGGTTAGGATTATATAAAGGTATAAAGTTGGAGTTAGAATTAGGATTCTATCTTGGGGGGGGGGGGGGGGGGGGGGGGGTATTGCTCCAGGGGGGGGGGGGGGGAGAATGTCTTGAGGTAATTTCCAGTAGCTGTCATTTATTGTTGATCCACAAGTCTTGGCATTTCAGACACATTTTGAATATCCATTGTCAAAATGTTGGTACCAAATACCAAAATTTCATTTTACAAAATAGCATGGAAAAATATTCGCAAACTTATTACTTGCAAAGTAATAAAGAACTACAGAAGCTCCCTTGATAGCATAACTCAAAAATTATATTACATAAATTTTTCAACTTAATTTCTACAATCTTATTGGGATAACATACTTTATTGTGTAATGAAATTCTCACTCAAACGAATGCTAGATTTTGTCACTGTTTTTTTGTTGAAGCTTAAAATAGCATAAAATCAACAAAGACTGAATAACGTCTTTGTTTACTTTTTTCACAAAACATTGTTATAGTTATATAAGAATATTGTTATAGTTATCTAAATCTATAATAGGCCACATTCGCACTTCTCTCTCTCTCTCTGTTTGTCCGCAAAATATTTTCGCCGGACATCACATCAGAATCTACAGCGATATATCGAGAACTTTTTACGGACTTTTGTTGAAAATAATATGTTAGATGTTTTAAATGTATAACCACAATTTTATTTAAAGAAGAAAAATAAAAAATAAAGGCGTATTCGAATATAGAGAAACAGTATTGTTTATGCAACCGGAAAAGTGTATAAACTTGGGACAAGAACGCATTTAATGACGTCGCTTATTGTTTACACTAAAACAAGAGCACGAAACTGATGACATCATCTTCCGAGTTTAGAATTTTAAAAAATGAACTATTTCATTCAAATATGATTTAGAGCTATATACGCTATGAAATGTAGACTACACAATACGTCTCGGCCTAAACTTAAAAAAAAATATTTTATCTATTTGGATTCTAGATCTAGAGATTCTAGATCTAGACTAGATCTAAATCTACGCTACGTCGCTAAGATCTATTCTAGATCTAGATTTAGACTCTATCTACTGTAGAATCTATTCCAAAAATAAATTTCTATAATAAACTTTTTCAGGACTAAATATTTTATAGAAATCTTTGTTTGTTTAGCAATGAAACTGGCTAATTTTGGGTAAAAAAATAATTTTGAAAAAATAGGCATATTCGTGTAAGTTATTTTTTTAAACACTTCTTTTATTCTCCATATTTTAAAAGGTACCTAATTAGCTGAGATGATAGTGTACTTGATACCAGACAGGTGGTGCTGGATCAAGACACACCAAGTCAAACCTAATTTATTTTTTTATTTTTTTTAATATGTGAATCTTCCTATTTTAGACTATAAAGAAAGGAACTACTTTGGAAATCTTTGTTTATCTATGCAATGTGCTAATCTCTATAATATATGAAGCAAAGTTGTCGGGTGCCCGACATTGGGCACTTCCCGGCGCTGCAGGCGCTTCAAATTTGGCAGGATTTTGCCTTGGGGGCGACAGAACACGGAGGCCGGTGCCGGTTGGCCTAAAGGTCTACGATGAGGGGGTCAAAACAGACCTCGACTGACCGGCGCCTTATATGAGCTATAAATCGAAAAAAAATTGTCCACGTGGGAACCTCTTCATAAATCCTGAGGTCGTAGACCGACCCTCGGGCGACTTAATTAAGCATTCAAATTCTCAATGTTTTTGAAAGCCTAAGCGAAGCTGGGCAGCATGCCTAGTATAAGAATATACAGCCTGAGCATCTGGTCAGAATTTTCCAGACAAGTTTTTTTTATACCCTCCAATACAGAAGTTAAGTACCCTAAAATTTGTGTAGAAATTACCCTATTTTTCACATAAAATACAAAAATTATTTAGGGAAATACGACAGGTCAGTTTTGACCCATTTCCCGATTTTTCCGGACATGGCGAGTTTTTTTGTGACACCCCTAGGCATTCTCCTACCACCTCACAAAATTTCAAGGGGGGTCGTCGGACGAAAGTTTTTTTCGTAATAGAGCTCATATAAAGAGAATTTCATTCGCGGTCACTTTTTAGCCCTCGTCGAGGGCTTTGAGTGAAAGTTTTCCCTACGGCCAATCCATTTACCTAAGAGCATGCCAAAAATTAGCTTGATGTACAGAGGGTAAGTACCCTGAAATCTTTGTTGAAATTACCCTCTGTTTTTCACATAAAATACAAAGATTATATAGGGAAATACAACTGGTCAGTTTTGACTCTTTTCCCCTATTTTTCCCAGACATAGCGAGTTTTTTGTGACATCCCCTCTGACACAAAAAGCCAGACCCCCTCCCCTAAAATGACGTCACATCTCAGCCTGCAAACCCCCTCAAAATAGCTGTTAAATTTTGAAATTCCCGGCTTCCCGGCTGCGTGGGAACCCTGCACCGAATGCCTGCCGACTAATATGCTGCGTCTAATGTGAGGCGTTAGGAATACGGCCATCAATGTGGGGCCCGGGTCCGACAAACCAAACGGGGGCTGAGTTAGAGCACCAGTGGGCTATCGCGCTTTGTAAGATGACGTAAATACTTTAATTTGATTTTGCAAAACTGCGCCAAAATTTAGTAATGTTACATCTTTTGAGTGTATAATGTATTGTATTTAGATCTATAGACAATCATAACAATCATATTATTTTAACCCTTTCCCCGGCAACATATTTGGTACCCTGTCCCCGGCAACTGGGTGGATCACACCCAAAGACTTTCTTATAGTAAATTCTTTTCTTTGTTCATTGTGGGGTGGGTAACAATACTGACACAGTTGAGGTATTCAGGGCACAGAGGCCATGGGGAACACAAGACATGTTATTGTCAATGGGAGAGCTGTAATATGATACTAGTGGTTGATGGGATTCTCAAGCAAGAGTTAACCTGTGGGTGGACACATGTAGTGATTTATACTCTTTGATGGAGCTCTGACTTGCAGTTACAGACAGAACTGTAGTTTAGAGTTACAATAGGTTAATGAAATGCAGGGGTAAGATTGCCTGTGGGAGGACATTTATAGTGATTTGTACTCTTTTTGGGAGCTCTGGAATGTAGATAGAGACATTCGAGCCTTTCAGAGTAACTTGACATTAACCTCATTAGGAGTACGAATGAGGACAAAAAGGCAAAACAATTTTGTAATGCTGCTTGGAAGTTAATACTGGGCAATTAATTGATCAAACTGGGAGTGGGGTGGGTGTTCTACAGGTTGTGACCCTGAGAGTAAGGTTTATAAATAGTCACTAACGTTATTGAGAACACAACAGAAACAAGTCTTGGACGTTTTTGTCTAAACTCAAGTGCTAATGATAAAGGAATATATTTGCCAGTTTTAGTATAGCAGGTGAAAATGACCAACAAGTTTTGAGTCTGAACTATTAGTATCAGAGGTAGAAGATGAAGAATGGCAGCCATCAGTATCAGAGGTAGAAGATGAAGAATGGCAGCCATCAGTATCAGAGGTAGAAGATGAAGAATGGCAGCCATCAGTATCAAGCAGCTCTGATGACGAGGTCTACCCAATATACTGCATTTCAGCTATCAATAATGTGTCAACAGTTGGCACCCATAATGAAATGAAACGGCTGGTGCAAAGTGAAGAAAAAGAAATATTTTCAGGAAAGACAAAGTAACAATACACTAGACCACTGCCTGAAGTGCTAATCCCAGGAAATTTCTAAACAGCCTGACCCTAAATATTTCTTCTGTGCATGAATACAAAAAATAATACAACCAATATTTGACTGCATTAGCAGGGATGGAGAGAAAGCAAGAGGAGACACTGGCACTCTGCAGAATAACAATTTAGTTGTATGTCAATTCAGTTCTGATTATGGAAGTTTTTGAAGGCAGAATTTTCTATGAAGAAATTCAGAAACCTTCTGGGTCATATTCACTTCACAACAATAACACTAACAGTCCATCAGGCTCATGGTATATTTGCTTCCATTATGGTAGATATTCCATTCAAATTTAGAAAGGTGTTATGTTTCTGGAGAGATCATTACTAATTAGCCAGTGGTTGATTTTAGAGGTGGGAGTAGATTTATCCAATACATACCAAGCAATTCCGATAAGTATGGCTTTAGAATATTTTGGAC